GTGTGTGTGTGTTTGTGTTTGTGCGTGTGTGTGTATACAGATGTATACGACAGCAGTACAGAAGTCTACATGCAGGGAGAAATGAAAGCAAGAATTTTTCAATACGCAAACTGAATATTCAGTAAACGAATAAATCAAAGAATACACTAATACACTATATATATATATTTATTTATTTATATTTTTATTTATTTATATCCATATTTTTGTTTATATTTACATGCATCTTCATATTTTTATTCATACTCATACTTAGGTTTATTTGTTTATCTAGAACCCTTTTTTTTGACGGGGTTCTTCAGGCCTAAGTGTTGGGCATTTCTTTGCAGTTTGCTTGCTTGCGTCTACCTCTAAGGTTTCTCCATGCCGTGGTACAGACACGGAGGGGCACAAAGCAAACCCGAAACCTTCGTTATCACACCCTGGCAGCCCTGGAAAGAACCCTCAAAAAGAACCTATAGAATGCCTAAGCCCGAAACCCTAAAAACAGACTAGAATACCCTCTTACCCATTTTTCCCTACGGTACTTCATACCTTTTGCCTGCATTTGCCCTCGTAGGTTTCCGGGCGGCAGCGGGCTGAGCAGCAGCTGAGACAGCCCTGCAGGGACTGCGCCGAATACCGCGCGCAGCACACAGAGACGATGGCCGACTGTCAGAATCTACGGACGCAGCTGGTTGAGTTTGAGGCTCTGAAGCTCCATCTGAAGAATTCACGACTGGGCCAGGAGCGACTACGGACTCGACTTGTGCAAGATCTTACGCAGCTCTTAGCGCGACATCAAGACTCCCCTGCGAGCGGGGAAGGCTCACCCGCCACTGCAAGACAGGCGTCTCCCCGCGCAGAGATCGCGGAAAAGTGCGTTTTGTATTAAACTGCCCGGGTCTGCAGGATCTGCAGGTTTCGGGTTGAGGCCAGTGGTTCCGGCTCCTATCTAGCGATGTCCTTGTAGAACGGCATTTTGCACTCACACCCCAGTTTCTCTCGAAACCATTCTCTAATGAACACCTCTCGTTATTTCCGGCTAATGCTGCTTAGGTTCCTAGACCCAACAGTAAGGCCCGCATCTGTTTAGCTCAAGCTGAATTGGTAACAGCATCCCCCGCAAGTCCCACTTGTTATCCGATGCTAGTTAAATACTCCGAAGCAAGATTCCCAATCATAGAATCAAGGCCCCTATCATAAGACCCCTAATTGCTGGTACAAAGTACAGGACACTTTAAACACCCTCATAAAACCCCCTAAACCCTAGGCAAGGGGTGCTTTACTGGTTTCATGCCGACCCTACCTACGAACCTCGCCTGGCATGTCCACCCTGAACCCCAAGCCCTTGTGCACCCATGTTTGAGCCCCTCAGAGTGCCGAGGCTCCCGGGCAAATGCAGCAGCGAGCCTCCCCCGCATTCCGCAAAGGACTTACCACGGGGTTGAAGGTTGGGTGTAGGGGTGAGCCTGATAGGGTTGAGGTTTTAGGGATGTATAGGGGCTACCAATTGGGCGTAGGACGGATTCGATGACATTTGTTCGAAGCGGCACTGCCAGCATAAAGCACCGCCAGCCTTGTGAGTCACGCATATTGTCCCGTCTCTGCACGTGATACTGAGTTTGGTAAGCATCAGGTCTTTGATGAACGATCCGAAGACGAGTAAGGCAGGGGAAGCAGAAATTTTTGGCATGAACGTCCAGGACTTGGGGCTTATGACGGCTATGAGTGTTTTTGGGGTTCCTTGGCTTCAACTGCCAGTATGATGCATGAAACATTCCTGAAACTGCAATGGTGAGTTTGTCGGCCGCCGAGACTGCCTAAGGAGATGCATGTTTGTGGACATGAGGCAGAGCATCTGGTACTGAAGCGTGCGCTGAACCGCCTCGTAAGATTTGCATGCTCCATCTATACGCCTCGAATTACTCGATAAAGCTCACCGAGAGTTCATTTCCATAGCACCTTCCTGAAGCCATGGCCCATCAACTCGGCAGTTCTACAAAGAAGCGGCGCCGAGCCCTTCCGACAGCTGTGGTGTTCTGCGTCGGCGTGGCTTTCGCGGTGTTCCGCGCAGGCGAGGCATTTGCCGGGACTTTTTCGAAGTGGGCCGGCCTGCAGGGCTTGCTTCGGAACTCCTTTCCGAACTATGGCAACTACGGGGGCATGCGGGGTCATGCCACCTTCAGGCTGGCGCAGGAGTCGGAAGTGAAAGAGATCAGATGGCTTGATCCTCTTGATGAAAAAGCCGAAGAGGTTACGCCGGCAGAAGATGCCACAGTTCTGCCTGTCTTTCCCCTTGGCGGACCTTTCATGCCCTACACAAAGCAGTCCCTTCAGATCTTTGAGCCTCGATACCGGCAGCTCTATGACAACATCTTACTGTCCGGATCGCGACGTTTCGTAGTCACCCCCGTCGACCCGAGGTCGGAGGATTCCCTTCGCCTCGCCGAAGTGGGCGTGGTGTTCTACTTGGATGACCTCAAGGATCTGTCAGAGCAAACACAGGACAGGGTGAAGTACGTGTGTGAGCACAGCGTCATCGGCCGGGTGAAGCTGAAGCGCGTCCTGAACCCGGCTGACTGGTTCTCTCGCTCCACGTACCTCCGAGCTGAGACCGACCCAGTTGAAGACACGGACACCGATGTGGACTCCTCACTGCTGGAACAGGAGGTGCGGGTCTGCTCCAAACTAACGTCCCTTCTCGGTTCCTAGTTTTGCAGCTTTGAGCGACAGATGCGGTGACTCTATATAGGGGAGCCGAGTTTTAAGCACATTATGACATTGCCCAGGTGATGCAGCTGATGAGAGACTTGGTCCCTTTGTATGGGGAGCTCGGTCAGCCGACCTACGACGTGAGCCTCCTTGAGCGCAGGAACTCCAGCAGAGCAGAGGAGGGCGGGCTGTGGAGCCTGGGGGAGGTTTGGGTGCAACTCCTTGGGGCGCAGCTACAGACGAAAAGGAAGCTTTTTGAGGGTAGGCTGCAGGACATTCTTCGCTCCTATGCGAAGTCGGGTCAGACTGAACTTCGCATAACAGATTTGCCTCCTGAGGCCTTAGCAGACATCAAAAGGCTGGAGCAGGAATTCCAAGCCATGGGGAACAAGATGGTGATGCAGCAACTCGAATTCGGCCAGTTGCTGATACAGACAGATTCCCACAGAGGACGCCTTGAGCAATTCAAGAGTGCCCTCGATGAGGAGTACCGGAAGCTCATAGCACAAAAGTCGTTGAAGTCCCTTGGGGACCGATGAGCTTCGCCCTGTGGCCTTGCCGAACCACTGGCAGTGCCCCAAAACTGGCATACACTGCTTTCTACCTTATCATACATACCGGTATAGATATATGCGCATACACACTCTCTCGCTTGCAGCTAGTAACCGTATGTATCATTCAGTTTTCTGAGACGGCCTCGGGCTGAGGCATCTCACCCATCCAAGAGGTAGGAGAAGACGCGGGGTCAGAGCCCGGCCTTGAAAGGGCCGCAAACCGTATCAGTTCATAGGATCCCATCCCACATGTTTTCCAGCTTGAGGCGGGGAGCTCACGACGGAACTGAGAAGAAAAGGTCGCTCACCTGCTTCTCTCGACTACTCGTAGCTTCCTTTGCAACGTCGCGTGGTTGCAGAACCGTACGTATGCTGAAGGCCGTGGCCGTGATGAGGCAAGAGATTGAAAAGCAGCAGGTCCGGGTCCCTTTGATGGTCACCAGTGGCTCTTTGTCCGTGCCGACCTGTTCTTTTCAGGTGGAGTCGAGCCCGAGTCGACGCCATGGAGCCACCAGTTCCCATTTCAGAAAGGGAAGTCCCCGACGCCAGGGCGCTGCCACCAGCGCGAACTGGCGCTCTGGGAGCCCACGAGGCCATGCAAGGAGCCCCTCCAAGCGGGCCGGCTACGGAGGCCAGTTTGGCGCCGGTGGCGGCTATGCCACGGGCTACAGCCCCGCCCCCTCGAAGACTTTGCAAGGCCCGAGCCAGTGTTCAAGAGGCTACTGTACTGTATGAACTGTTTGATTGCACGTGCTGTTCAGGCGTGGGCTACGATGAACCTGTCGACCTGACCGGTGACGGTGACGGAGGACTGCATTGTTGCTTCTTGGAAGTTGCAAGGTTGCACCGGTCTTTCCGGAAGTCCAGGTGCCGGCGAAGCATGCTTTTGGCGCATTTGTGTGCACTGGTGACCAGTCCGAATGTCAGAGTCTAAACCCTGAAGATTTGGGCTCCAGAGCTTTCCCACGTATAAACCGCCGCAGGCCACCTGGTTGTAGATGGCCTGCTTGACAGCAACAGCGGCGTTGTTGCTGGCTTTTCCATAGGTGGAGGGTGATGTCAGTTGCGATGCTGACCCAGCCCAGAGCCGTGGTCTGTTGCAAGTTGGCATGAAGAGCGACACCTTCGCGACAGAGTCTACCTGGTTGCTTGGCGCCACTGGGCAGAGCTGCGGCGATGTTTGCGGGTCCGCTGGCAAGTTCTGTCACGAGTCCAGCATGTATGACAATGTATGATGTCGACACCAAAGAAGAGATGTTGACTGCCGCCCGGAAAGCGGGCCACAATGGCACCAAGCTGTATGGCTGGGCCTACGACAATAACCCAGGAAGTTGTGTGGATTCCAACTGCACTGCATCGGTCTCTGCGCATGCAGGACGACCAAGGTTCGCACCTGCAGCGGGACCAGCTCCTACGCGAGGCTTTGTGAGTGCTTTGCCCAAGCAGAGACCACCAGCACCACGACCCCAGCTGTGCCCTTCGCCCTCGAAAGCCAAGCCTCCTGGATTTACACGCAGCCTCTTCCTCATGCGCACGACGTGGAGCTGATGCTGCTACTTGCCACGATCCCTGCAGCCTCGAAGACGGCTGGTGAGCCGGCGCTTTTGGTGATGCCTCAAAGTGGCAATGATGAGACGGCCTTCCTGGACTTTGTCGCACAGCATCGCCCCGAGGAGACCTACGCCACCGGTAGTCTCAGTCTGGGCAGTCTGGAAGCGATGCTGGCGGTTGTGAAGGTTGTGGGAGGTGGCACGCCTTGCGAGGCCTCAGAAGCCCTGGCCCGCAAGTTCTGGTCTCAGGCTTCGGAGCTGGTCGTGGCTCGGTGCGACCGACGACTATACCTCTGCGCTCATAGCCGCCCCTCTGGCTGCCAAGAAGTCCTCGCCGCTGGTCCTGCTCAGCCAGACGGTGGATCTGGTGAGCTTGGCTGGGGATCTCAAGGTGCAGAGCCTGCTCTTCGTGGGCTCGGGTTCGGGCCCCGAAGGATTGGGCCTGTGGCAGATTCAATTGCAGAGTGCACAGGACGTCTTCGATGCACTGGGGAAGCCTGACTACCTTGCCATCGCCAGCCCGGCTGATCGAGAGCTGCAGTCCTACCGTGCTACATCAGCTGTGGCCCCGCTCCTTGCAGCGCTCCGAGGAGGGGGGTCAGCGGGCACCTGAAGACTGCTATGGCCAACATCCAGCCCGCGCTCAGGAATGTGGGCTTCGAAGAGCCAGTGTCGATTGGCTTCGAGGAGCTTCGTAACCTGAAGAAGATCCACGTCTCTGCCTTCCTTCACACAGACCATTCCGGGGATGGGGGGGTGGGGAATTCCCTGGACTTTTCCTCCCAAAACCTGCTCAGTCCGATGATGGTGGGCCCTGGCGGCTGTTCCACCGCCGGGCTAGACGAGTTGTCGGACCCCATGCATTCCGTCGTGCTAACCATGATGCACTGTGGTGCCATTGGCTTCGTGGGAGGACCACACAATGCCATCACAGCCTCCGGCCTGGTACACAGTGCCCTCTGGAACGGCATCGCGGAAGGGAAGAGCATTGGAGAAGCCTTCCTAGAGGGCTGGAACGACGTGGCTGTGAACTACAAGGACCAGGACGGCTACGTCCTGGCAGAATACGTGATGATGAACATCGCCCTCTACAGCGATCCCGCTTTCAAGCTCTTTGTCCCAACATCTCCACAGCAGCCGCTGCCCAAAGTGGTCCTGGACGGTGGCACAGCCGAAGTGACAGGGCCTGGGCACTGGACGAAGTTCAAGGCTCATGAGCACGTGACAGATGAGTGGAACTGGGATGGTGACCTCTATTACTACGGTGCCGTCGGAGTCCTCGTACAGAGGCAGTGGGTCGCAAGGTACGATCGTGAGTGGCCGTACTACTATGTCAGGATCAAAACTGACAAGTTTGTGCATGACGTGCTCCCTGTCACTCCCGTGCCAGCAGGCTTGGGCTACGTCTACGTCGGAGCTTCCATGTCGCTGCAGGGTGAGGTTTCCGGGTCTGCAGTCAACTAGTGACACCTGGACGAGCATGCTGACTGCACGAGGACACTGATGTGGCGGGTGCGGCTTCTGGACTACAGCGACGAGACGGGCATCATCAACAGCCAATTCCACAGCCAACGCTACAAGATCTCCTTTTCGGATATCCCGTTGTCGGACACCACCACGACAACCACACAGAGTTTCCCAGACCCTATCTCGATATGTGAGAAACAGTACCAGGAGGATGGCTTCTGCTGTGGTTGGAACAGTGGCTGTGGACGCCCTAGCTGCGTGCTCGGATGTCACATTGCAACAAAGTCCGCCGACGTCACCGTCTGCCAAGAGACCTGTCGGTCCCTGCATGATGGACAGGGCTGTTTCCCTACGGTTGTGGGTCGATGGGCCAATGTGTGCTCTTCCTGCCAGGGCTCCTGTTCTGGTCACTGTGAGGGCGAAGGCGGATGTGAACATGCCTGCTCCTTGATGGCCTTTGCCACAACAACGACAACCACAGTTGTGGTGGCGAATTGGGAGATTGCCCGTTGCCGCATGAAGTGTGCCACGGATGGCTATTGCTGCGACCGCGGCAGTGGCTGTGCGGCCCCGAGCTGCAAGCTGGGCTGTGAGGTGGCATGAATTTCATCCAGTGCTACTGTATGACATGCAAGGAACGCTGCCAAGCATTGACAGGGCACTGCTATGTCGATCCTGTCAACACCAGCCTCGGCGACGTGGTTTTGTGTGGTTCAGCCGGTGCCACCTGTGACGGACACTGTGAGGCTGCCGGTGGCTGTGAGCATGCGTGTGACTTTGTGAGCTTCTAGCTTACGAGCACCAATCCCTATGATGCCATTCCGACTGGCATGGCGTCGTGACAATTTTCATAAGGGATGCGTTCGCAGGAAGAAGAGTTGCGTGACTGAGCCTGGCCTGCCCCGCTTTGCGAGTGTTGGAAACCGTGCAAAGCCCACAGGATCGCCGGATTGGGGCAAACGGGCCAGCCAGGAGCCAGGGAAGGGACGCTTTGGGTGCTGGGGGGTGGATTTGGGAGGAACCGGGGAACCCAGTGACCTAGTCAAACTCAGCCAAAGTCAGCCAGAAAAGAGAGACGCAAACATGTCGAAGTAGCAACCCTAGTGTAAGCCGCCTAAGCCCTACGATATGCTTCACTAACCAGGAGTTTCAGAAACTACAGGAATTAGCTATGATCCCAAGCTAGCGAGATTCCCAGGGATCTCCGACAGAGGATCCTCAACATCAATGAGACACACCCCAAACTCGCGTGAAAGCTCTACAAAATCCGGTAAAAAGCTCAGAAAACTCTGTACATCTTGTTCGGTCGGGGTAGGGGAGGTTGGAAGTCGACTTTGACTGGTCAGGGATGAATCCCGGGCTGATGAAAAGCAGAGCTTTGACAATCGAAGAGTGACTTCTGGATCCTTCAGAGTTTAGGGATTGTACATGTTTGAGGTTACAACATGTGGGTTTGGTGCCGGAGGGGGTTTACATTTCAGAGTCTTGGCATCGTGTGGCATGTTTGTGCTGCGACGATCCTGCAGATCTGCCTCCCTAAAAGCCACCAGTCATGTAGAGGTCCTGCGTGGTACTGGTAGGATCCTTCTTGCATAAGCTTCAGCTTATAAACCTGAACCCAAACACCTTGTTGATCGTACTTTTGCGAAGCACTTCCTCAGGAGGCAAGGAGCACAGCTGCTAGTTGTACTAAGCCATGTGCTTGGCTGTCAGTGATATGTGTAGCATGACTAAGACTGACAAGCAGTAATCATACTTGTGCCGCTGAATTTTGATAGCAAAGGAAACCAGCAGACATAGATTATAAAAATAGGTCGCAGTTTCTGTTCATTCGATCGCGTGCCCAGTGCCCTTGTCAGGCCAGAAGCCGCGGGGGCATGTGGCTCAAAACTACCGGTCAAACAGACAGATGTGTGTAGTCGGTTGGTTGGCATGGGAAACCAAGTCTTGCGTTTCATTCCTCATCCTTGCATGTACACATGTAACCTCTGAAGCAAGCATGCCAGTTCCTCCTGGGCTGCATACCCTCACTCACCCCAGCCAAGTTCGTCAGACGCATTCCATTATTTGGTTCCTGTTCACCTCGCTGCGCTGCCACACCATGGCGGCATCCTTCCTGCCGCTTCACAAGCAGGCGTGGACGAATCTAGCTGCCAGGCCTTGGTGAGTGCCGTCCCGAGTCCCTCAGTGTGCTTCTGCCCATGATGTGTCCCATGCTTCTTCTGGCCGTTATTTCTGTTATCACTGCTGCATGCTGTCCGTTCCTACTTACTTGTTTGTAACTTGATGGTGAAGGTTCGTAGAATGGTAAGCATATACTCCGGTCATTTTCCATTGTCACCCTTACGGGTGCGCCTCGTCCTCTAACAGGATTTTAGGGCTTCGAGCGTGTTTGCGGCTTCGGCTTAGGTTTGTTTGGCTCTGCGCTTCGGATCCTATCGGAACTGACAGAGACTACAGCATCAACCCCCAAAACCTTAAACCCGAAGTCTCCAAACCACGGGCTCTTCGGCTACCAGAAGCGAATCTCACGAGACGAATTTAGGACCACGATGTATACGATGTATGGACATACTCCTCATGCTACTGTTCTGTGGGTGTGCGCGTGTGTTACGCTCCTTCTTTGTATTATTGCTTCGTATTTCTGCATTACTTGTTGTTTAACTAAACTATATCTTCGAACGGTAGTAACATTATCATCGTCAATTGTTACCACTGTTGTTATATCTTCTTGGGTCAGGCACCGCCCCGGTCAAACTCGCACTCGAAGCTGACTGCTTCTCCCGGGTCGCGGCCAGACACGCCCGGACAGATCAGGCGGCTCAGCACCTTCATTAAGGTTCGGGCGTTTGGAGCTAGGGTTTAGGGTTATTACAGGGCATGGCATCCACGACGTTTGCGTCTGTCGCTGCTGTGCATGTGAGGCTTAATCATCAACTTGGTCTGTACTTAATCTCAGGAAGGCTCCTCGTTCAGTTCCGAGTCGAGCTTAAGACAACCCATTATGGCGTACTCTGCCAAACTCCAGGCAGGAAGAACATGCTTGTGGCTCGTGACTCGCAGCTCACGGGTGTCTGTCACTGAGGCGAGTATCCAGGCCTTCGTCGTCTTCGTCGACTAGAGGAGGCACTGACCTAACACTGCCGGCTTCTGCCCTGCATCCTTGATGTTGACCCGGAGGCACCGTGGGCGCCTCGCTTCAACATTTGCCACCAGAGCCCTCTTCTTCGTCTTCCCGGCCCAATTCATCGTCCCAGCAAGGTGCACCTGGTGCATGCGGGTGATCGCAGTATTGCAGCAATGTTTTGTTTTGCAGAATGAAATAAGACGAAGATCTTTCTGTGCAACGCCTAGAGGCACTCTTGCAGCGTCGCTTCAACAACCGTTGCCCGAGCCACCACCTCCGTCTGCAGAGGCGACTGAACGGCGGTTTAATTCCGGAGAGCCTGCTTCATTCTTGCTGGTTTCAACTGCGCAGAACCCAGAAAGGTTTCTTCACGGTACTGCGACTGTAACCTGCCCGGAGCTCACTTACACCTCCATCTACAAGCATCTACAGGCTTTGCTGCTGCTGCTGGTGATTTAAACCACCGCCTGTCACTGCAACTGAGTATGTTGCTGCAAAGTGCCACCTTGGCCACTACTACGGCTGTAGCTGCTGCTACCTACTTCTATTGTTGTTGCTGTTGCGATTCCGACAACGACGACGACTGCTGCTATTACTTCTAAATTGTGCCAGGAATTTGGACCAGTTTTTTGATGGAAATCTTGGCAATCTTGGTGAAGCGGGGGAGCAAGATTACCAAGCAATCTTGGTTATCTTGCCCTGCTTGCCCCACTTGCTCGCCGACTAGTTTACCCAGTGCCCTTTGGGGACCAAGATTGCTGGCAATGTTGCTCCCCCGCCTTACCCCACTTGCTCGCCGACTAAGTTACCTTTGGAAACCAAGATTGCAAGAATGCTTGTCAATCTTCCTCCCGCCTTGCAATCTTGCTTTACTACTGCTGCTCCTGCTACTACTACTCCTCCTCCTGCTCCTGCTGCTGCTGCTGCTGCTGCTGCTGCTGCTACAGGTATGCTACTATTTACTATTACTTACTTACTTACTGACTTGCTGCTGCTGCTGCTACTACTACTACTACTACTACTGCTGCTACTGCTACTGCTACTGCCACTACCACCACCACCACCACCACCACGACTACTACTACTACGACGACGACGACGACGAGTAGTACCATTTTTCTACGAACCACTATTCACTACGCACTACTAACTGACTACTGCTGCCATGATGAGGCTACCTTGTGTGGGTCATTATGTTGAGGATGAGAGAGCAGGTCCCCAAGCGATAGAAACGCACGAACTTTAAAAAAAAAGAAACGCACGAAACGAGACTCCCTGAATCAAAAGGACATTTGCCAGATAACTAATAAGGAAACGAATAGTTCGTGCATTTTCAGTCGCCGTGCCGTGAGCAGGCCTTCGGCCTGCCGAACGCCGTTCCGGAGGTGTTCGAGGAGGTCGTGCCACCTCCACCTCCACCTCCGCCACAGACCAGGGAGGAGACGCGTCTGAACCACAAGAAAAAATCTTCGCGTATGACCTTTGTGACAATCTCCTGTACGCAAACTCAATGTTTGACTGAGCCATATCGTGAGCTTCAATGACCATTCAGCACGCCAGTGACAGGGGCTAGTCATCCGTCGGCCATGCATGGCGCCTCCAGGAGCATACGTTGGAGCACCTGTCTCAGGAGGATCCTCTGAAGGAGGGGTGCTAGGTTGCAAACTGTAGCATGAGCCCATTCGGCACAACACTCCAAAAGCTGCTAGAAAGCTGCGGGCAGCTCTGTGCGAAATCTGTCTGCCAGCTAGAAATGGCTACTTTGGCCCTATGTCTCGTGCATGTGTCGGGGTGGCTCGCGGTCCCCTTGCTTGCCGAACAGCAAGACTTCACGGCAAAAACTAAGATTTTTGTTGGCTCGAGAAATTCAATTCTGCAAGCGGCCCAGCCAGGAGTTGGGACTGGTTCGCCGGGACTTCGGCGACAACGATGATCATTTGTCAGATGATGATGTGCGCCTCAGCTGGCACCTACTCGCACGAGGATTTGGAGGAACGCAGTTCCCTCGGGCTCCTGCTTCTCCCAGGGTTCCGCGGGTGTAAGATAAGCCAGCTCTGCTATACGACCACTTGGCTGAAAAAAATCAGGGAAAGCTGAATTTCACGAGCCCTTTGTCGGTTGAGCTGGGGTTCGTTTGATTTGAGGGTGCTGGGCTAAGGTGACATTTACAGACGCTCAAAATTTAGCCGTGACGAAGGATTAGAACAGGTTTGTTGGTGTGGGAGTGCGATTGTTTGATTTTCGGCTGTGAGGGAACAGGGGATAGTCAGTAGATAGTCTATTCGCAGGCCACCTGAAGTCACTGTGGCTGTTACAGCCAGCATCGTTATCACTACCACCATCGCAGCAGCACTGCACTATCTCAACAACCGCAACATGAAGAAGATAGACGCATATATAGCCAAGCTAGAACGCGCATGCAGAATACCACACTTATACTTGTAACCACCGTGGGCACCACTGCACACCACCGCCATCACTGCATACCATCAATGAATATATGTGACAACATATATGGCATAAGAGCACGCCAAACGATGGGCCTCATGGCTGCAGAGTGCAAATCGGTGAGCTCCGTGGCTGTAGAAAACGCAGTTTCTGGCAATAGGATATGTCAGTGCGATGTAACGGCTGACACGACAGTCGGAGTGCTGCAAGAAGCCGTGCTCTGCAGTCTTCAGGATAGTGGCAGCGCACAGGACTTGAGCAAGATCCTGTTGCTGCACAAGGGGAAGTTCTTGACGGATGGAAGACAGACTCTGCATCAAGCCGGCCTGCAGGATACAGCCTGCGTCGTTCAAGCGCTGCAGTGCCAGCGTTCTCTTATGGCTGCAGCATGTGACGA